GGGTCCTCAATTTGTGTCTGAACTTCAGACTTACATATACTATTATGATGTGTCTGGTCTATATCTTTAGATTTATTTATTGTGTGTGCATGTGGGGGGATGTTCCCGCGCACATGTGTGTGTGTGTGTGTGTGTGTGTGTGTGCTTACGCTGCATATGTTTTTAAAAATGCAAGTGCCCACAGAGGCCAGAAAGGGGCGTTAGATCCCCTAGAATTGGGGTTACAGACAGGTGATAGCTGCTGACTGAAACCCAGGTTCTCATCAAAAGAAATATGTGCTCTTAACTGCTTGAGCCCTCTCTCCAGCTCCCCACTCTCTATCTTTGGATATGTCCAATTTGTTTCCAAACTTAACATATTTTATCCTCTCTCCAATTTTACATATCTATACATAGTACCGTGTAGTTTTCTAGTCACACCGAAGTCTTGAAGTCTCTACTGTCTGCTTTCTCTCTTAGACCATTAGCAAATCCTGCCCATTCAGTGTGGGTTCAGACACAGAACTGACCCTTTCTCACCACCCTCTGCTTGGTTACTACACCCCAGTACTCTGCATCCTCTTGTGTAGGTGACTTCATGGCTTCTTGGCTCGTCTTCCCTGCTCACTGTTGCAGCACAGCCAACCACCCTGAGAAACATTACTCAGGGAAGGCTAGAGCTCAGTGATGAGCGCTTGCATAGGATGTACAAGGCCCTGGCTTCCATTCCCAGGGCTAGAAAATGATTTTAAATCCTTTTTTCATTCAAACTAAAAGATTTTAAATCCTTTTTTTTGTTCAAATTTTCCTTGTAGATTTCCATCACATAATAAACTCTAAAAAAATCCTTAATATGGGCTATAAGATTTTGAATGGTTTAGCTTCTGACCGCTGTTGTGATTTCATCTCCCCCCACCTTCTTCATCTGGTCCAGACACAGCAGCCTCCTCTCTAGTCTTTGACACATCAAGCATATTCCTGTCTTCACACTTGTGCTCTCTGAATGGGATGCTCTTTGTCCAGACTGTCGTCCCATTCTCTCCCTGCTCAGAAGAGCCTCCTGACTATGTCTTGCTCTTCTTCATTCATTCTTGTTATTTGCTTTCTTTTATTGTTCTTGTCTCTACCTGACATTTCCCATTATTGTCTCCTCTTCTAGGAAGCTAATTTGTTAAAGAAAAATCTATTTTTATTATGTACTTATTTATCTTTTTATTAGTTTTTTGAGACAGGGTTTCTCTGTCTTGCCATGGCTGTCCTGGAACTAGCTCTCTAAACCAGGTTAGCCTCAAACTCACAGAGATCTGCCTGCCTCTGCCTCCCGAGTGCTGGGATTAAAGGTGTGCGTCACACTGCTGCCTGGCACAAAGATTTATTTTTGCAATATCCCTAGGACCTAGAACATTACTGTGGTATACCATGTTTGTTGAGTGAATAAATGAAGAACTTTTTTCTCCATCTTTTAGAGTGTATCTATTATATCTTATGGTAATATATATGTATATATGTGCTAACTATGTTCACATTTTTTGCTGTCATCACCACCAAACTGAAACTCTATGCTCCAGGCCTGCCAGCCATCATTCTACTTTCATTTCGTAAAATGGTTTTTATGTTTCTTTCCTTATTTTGCTCAGGCTCAGGTGGCAGCATTTGTGTGGAGGAGCTGGTTCTCTGTTTACTACGTTGTTTCTAGGATGGGGCTGAGATTGTCAAGCTTACAGACAAAACACTTACCCACCTCACTGCCTCACTAGACCACAATTCTACTCTTCCAGAGGTCCTGAGTTCAATTCCCAGCAATCACATGGTGGCTCACAGCCATCTATAATAAGATCTGGTGCCCTCTTCTGGCCTGCAGACATACATGGAAGGAATGTTGTATACATAATAAATAAATAAATCTTTTTGAAAATTACTTTTTAATTGTGTGTGTGTGTGTGTGTGTGTGTGTGTGCGTGCGTGCATGTATGTGCAGTGGTGGAGGTACCACAGTGTATATGTGGATGTCAGGACAACTTGCAGGGGTTATCTCCTTTTACCCTAGGGTCCCAGGGATTGAACTCAGGTCATCAGTCCTGATGGCAGATGCCTTTGATGGCTGAGCCATCTGGTAAACTTTGTACCCATGATTAAACCCAGGGCCTTGCAACATGCCAGTAGGTAATTACTATACTACTGAGTCATATCCCAGTCCCGACTTTCTATCTCTAGGAGCAATGTTTAGTCATGAAGAGGTAAGGTTTGGCTAGTTGAGGAGTCATTTTACTTCTGTTTTACTAAATGCTTCTACTAAATGTTTGGCACTGTTAGGTGCAGTAGGGACACACAAGTACCAGTCTCCATAGTCCCATTCTGTTGAAATAATAATCACATGTGTTGTGTGCTGGGGGTGGAGCCCAGAGGTTTTTTGTTATTCCACCATTAAGGAAAAAAATGAGAAAAGAGGAAAGGGAAAGAAAAAGCAGGTGTGATGATGTACACCTAACTGTAAAACCAGCAGGGAATCAGAAGTACAAGGTCATTCTTGGCTATAAGCTTGAAGCCAATCTGAGCTACATGACCCCTTGCCTCAAAATAGAACAAGGAGCCTGGAAAGATGGTTCAGCAGTTAAGAGCACGGCTGCCTTTGCAGAGGACCTAAGTTTGGTCCCAGCACCCATGTCTCACAGCTCACAGCCACCTCTACTTCCAGCTCCAGGGGATCCAGAACCTTCTGGACTTCTGGACTCCACAAACATCTATACCTATGTGTACATGCCCTCACAGAGACACATAATTAAAACAATATACCTTTAAAACACCACCACCACACATAGAGAGAACACTGTCTCTTACTGAGGCTGGGCACACCTATACGGACCATCTCACTTCTGTGCCAACTGACAGCTGAGAGAGGGTTAAGGAGGAATTTTGTACGTTAGAGTTATTTCCTATTTCCCTCTTTGCTTTTGTTTGTTTGTTTTGGTTTTTTGTTTGTGTTAGTTTTTGGTCTGAAGTTATTTCTACTTACTAGGAAAAGATGCCTTTTGGAGGTAAAAATAACAAATGAGTCCTTTAAAGCATGTGATTCAGCAGCAGGTAGTGTGCTCACATTGACATACAGGTTCCCAGAGCATCTTCATCACTCTCAGTGTTACTAAGAACGTTTTCGTTATTGTTTTTAACATTTCTGCATTTTCTCTTGCTCTGCTAATCTGTCTTTGGCCTCTGTGAGTTTACCTAATCACAGTATTTCATGTAAATGCAATCACACATCATGGGACCTTTCGTCACATGTCTAGCATAATGCTTAGGAAAGTTCACACACATTGGGGTCACCTTTATGCACTGAGCTATCTCACCACTGCCACCACCTCCTTTTTTGTTTTATTTTTTGAGAAAGGGTTTCTCTGTGTAGTCCTGGGCTGTCCTGGAACTCACTCTGTGGATCAGGTTGGCCTTGAACTCACAGAGATCCGCCTGTCTCTGCCCCCCAAGTGCTGGCATTAAAGGTGTGTGCAGCTGTGCTCAGCTCCAGATTTCATCTTAATTTGAAGCCCAGTTACTGAAAAGAAGGTTTGATGTTGTATTCAGTCTACTTCCTGAGAGATCTGTAGTCCCTTTAGTAGTTCTACCTTTATCATTATCAGGATTTCCTAGTCTGTTTTCACAGTGGGGTTACAAACGGATCTGTTCACATCTCAAAGTCAGTCTGTTTCTTTTCTTTGTCATGTGGTGTGTGTGTATGTGTGTGTGTGGTGTATGTGTATGCGGTGTGTGTGTATGTGTGTGTATGCGGTGTGTGTGGTGTGTGTGTGCATGTGTGTGATGTGTGTACATGTGTGTTATGTGTGTGTGGTGTATGTGTATGCGGTGTGGGGGAGAGGAGGTGTATGTGTATTTTATTTTATAGTAGCCCTGGCTGATCTAGACTACACTATATAGACTCTTGCCTCTGCCTCCTAACAAGCCTGTGCCCCCCCCATATCACAAAATCTTACTTTAATATTTTTTATTACCGTGTGCCTTGTTCTTGTCCTGATGTGGAGCTGAAGTATTTAGAAAATGATCATAATTGTTACTCCTACATCTTTTGGTCTGCTTTCAAAATTCCTGAAGCCTACATTGCACTCCATACCAATTAAATAAAAATATCTGAAGGAGGGAGCCCCAGGCATTGGTTTTTTGAAGACTGCCAAATGATTTCAGTGTATAACAAGGTGGCTTTCCTTACTAGCCATATAATAGCTTAGTTGCTCCGCCTCCCGATTATCAACTTACTTGTTAGGGCTAAGTGGATGACTTATAATAATGTGTTTATCCACTTAAAAATGTCCATATGTCACATAAGTGTATTACTAGTTTTCACTGTGGAAAAAAAAAGTCCTGAACTCGTATTTGAGGTAACAACTTTTACTTCTTTCTAGTCCTGATAAATCACTTTGCCTCTTGATCCCTGTCAGGGTATGCCTTTTTCTTTACTGTTCAGGGATGGTGTGTGTGTGTGTGTGTGTGTGTGTGTGTGTGCGTGTGTGTGTGTGTGTGTATACAAGAGTTCAGTTGTGTTAGTCAACAACTCACCTTCCTGTCCTTGCAACAGAAAGGAAATGAAGTTTTGTTTGTATGTATATGTTTAATCTTAATTCCTTTTTACACTTTTTCTTTTAAGTTTTCTTTGTTTGCTTGTTTGTTTTGAGGCAGGATCTCACTGTAGCCTAGGCTACATGAGCCTTTCTAAGTAGCTAAGGCTGGCTTTGAACTCTCATCCCTCCTGCCTCCACCTCCCACCACATCTGGCTGTTCCTTTTAAAAATGTATAATAAAAGGTATTATTTTAAACCTTGTTGATCTGTTGGATTCACACCTGATCTTCTTTAAGAAGTGGTAAGCATGTCCTAACATCTAGACTTTGGTGAAAAGTGTAATTTCTAGCCACTTACACAGATTAACGATAGACAACTTGCCCTTCTTGTATGAGACTTGCTGGAGAAGTCTGTCGCCTGAGAGCTGAGAGTGAGTAAACCATCCTCTCTTTCTAGATCTTCATCTGCTGGTGGACGTGGCCTGCAAGCAGGAGCACTTTCCAAAGGAGGAAGAGTTGAAAGAATGAGACGGAGTGGATGCCAGATGTGACATTGTGCACTAGCCACAGCTGGGCGCAGACTAGACTTGCACATGACATGCTGTTGGGATTTTTTCAGTTCTGTTAAGGAAGAAAAAGTATTTTTTGTTTTGTTAATTGAGATTTTGTTAAATTGAAAATTGGGAGTTTGGTATTTCCTACAGCTGTTCAGTTCAGATTACTTACTTTGACAAACTGCTTCAACATCTAGCGGCCTTTTTTTTTTTTTCCTGCCCAGATTCCTTTCAAATGAAAAGTCCTGGCCTTCAAGAAGCATCTAAAATCTGCTCTGTTGATGGCACTGGAGCAGTGTGTGTGCTGAGTTGGGATGCCATTTTGAACAATGTCAGCACAATATCGTCTGTCTCAAGTCACAATGTGACCCTTTAGAGAAGGTGGTGTGATAAACAAAGACATGTGAGGTCACCAAAGTCACCAGTCCAAGTGGGTCAGGAGTTCCAGGGAGGAAGTTCTGGAAAAACTCATTTTCTAAGTGATTAACCAAAACTTCTCTTGTTTCTGAACCCCATGTCCTGTTTCAGGAGCAAGGCATCCAGACTTGGCCCGTTCATCAAACTAACAGCCTCTGGTTCTTGAATATTAATGGGAGCATTTTTTCCCATTGTCATGTCTTTCCTTAATTTGAATGATAAATTGTTATAAATAGTAAAAAAGTTTTGTTAATATCATTTACATAAATGTCTTCTAAAGAAAATATTTAATTTGTTTAATTATATTTATAAATGCTGAGAGATTTAAAAGTTTTAAAACTTTGTATTTTTATTAACCTTGCAGAATAGAAAGATTAAAGGGCACGTGTGTAATTTTATTTTTGAAGGGTAAATGTATAATATGTGAACAAAAACACTGAGGTTTAACACAGTGTTTTTTTATTTTAGATTTTTACATTCAACAGTATAAATTCTTATCTATAGAAGGTATTGTGTGCAAATTTGGGGGGAAATTGCTTCATTGTCATTTACCAGAAGCTATACTTTAATTTTTAAAAATTTTTTATTTTTTATATTCTTTAATTTTTAAGAAGCAGTTTATTTTTGAAATACTAAATAGGTTAAGCTTCTGAGAGACTTCTGGATAGTGGGGTAGATGATCACCATTTTTCCTTCCCCTCATAGGACTGTACATTTGAGTAGTGGATTGTGGGGCTGTTTTGAAGGTGAAGAGGGACATTTTGGATGTCCAGTTTCTGTAGTTGATCCATGTCTGCCAAATGACAGCAAGAACCAGAAAGGTTTGAAATATTTCAAGTTGACTAAAACTTTCTTGTTGGATCTACGTCAGTTTTCCTAATAAGTGCTGCAGAAACAAAAGGAAAGTCTATGAATTTAAAGCTAATGAAAAAGAAACAGCACTTAACAATGGCGTAAGCACTGGATTAGCACTGTAGCTCTCTAGTCCGTTCCTTGTGCTGCACTGTGCCTTCCCAGTGTGAGCAGACCTAGACGTGTATCAGAGTTCCAGCTGTTTTGGAAAGGGTAAGCTCGATTGCTCTACAGCGACTCAGTTTAGATTTGAGAGCAGGTTTTGATTCATCTAATTAGACTAGTTGGTGCTCATGTCTTGGGCGCTTATTCATCGTTACTAGTAAGGCGTGAAAGATGAACTGATTATCAAAACATGCACATCTTGTATCCATGCCAAATATATTGGCAAAGTATGTGAAAAGGAGACCCAGTTTTCTAATGAAGGAACTTTGCCTTTTCTCTGTCCCATTGAAGAGCTGGTAAGCTGTGTAGGTGATAGTTCTTCCCCTCAAATGCCTTTCTTAGCGTTATGTGTATTGAAAAAGATAATACCTTTTGAGGAATATGTGTCAAGCAGGAACCTTGGCACAGACATGGTTTCAGTGGTTTAAGGCTTGATCAGTGAATTGCCTTGATCAGCTTTGCAACCTTTTGTATATATGAGCACACCAGACAATGGAGCTGGACCTCCTGCTCTACTCAGTGCCTGGAACCCGTCTCCTAACGCTCTCATCAGTGGCTTGTGCAAGGGCAGCAGGAAAGTGAAGTCTGCACACATGAATGAGCCAGGAGGGCCTGCCTGACACATGCTAAGGAAGCTCCCGTCCAGCACCTCAGTGCTTCAGCACCTTAAGCACCGATCAGTTTCAATCAGTCAACAATAAAATGAATGTTCCAACCAGACCTCTTGTCTTACTTGTTTTACTATGTATTTATTTGTTTGTTTGTTGGTAGCCAGTAGAAAATTTAGTCATTATGATCACTAATGCTGGTGAACTTCAAAGACAATGCATTCTGCTTTTCAAAAACTGATTGATTTCTTTTCTCTTTTTCCCCCTGCAGTTCTGGAGATGAGCCCAGAGCCTGGAATCCATGCGAGGCAAGCACTGTCTTCCTTTTGTTTGTAGTTTTGAGACAAGGTCTTGCTGTGTAGACCAGGCTAGCCTTAAACTTGCAGTGGTCCTCCGGCCTCTCTGTATCTGGAGTTCTGCATTGCAGGTGTGCGCTACTCTACGTAGTCTACTTCTCAGTCTTTAAACATTGCCCTGAAGATGTAGTTCAGTTGGTAGTGGGCCTGAAGCCCCAGGCTCATCATTAACACCACATACAGCAAATACATTCCTGCAGTCACAGCAGAGGCCAGCCTGGGGTACATGCGACCAAGACACTGTCACAACAAAGCAACAAAACAGAAGTTGTCCAGACCTTTACAAATTATTATTATTATTGCTTTTTTTTTGAGACAGGGTTTCTCTGTAGCTTTGGAACCTGTCCTGGAACTAGGTCTTGTAGACCAGGTTGGCCTCGAACTCACAGAGATCCGTCTGTCTCTGCCTCCAAAGTGCTAGGATTAAAGGCGTGCGCCACCACCACCCAGTTTACAAATTATTTTTAATAATGATTAAAAATCTAAGTGTTTCTAAAGATAATATTTTACAGAATCCCAGATTTTGGAACAGGATGGATGAATAGTCTTCACTCACTAGTCAATCCAGGCAGGAACGACAGTGGTTAAAGATGATCTGTAAGGTTGAGTTGAGGCTGAGGATCTCAGTGGCAGAGCACTGGCCCTGAACTTAAACCTCAGCACACAAAAGAAGTCAGTGTCAGTGAGATGGCCTTTTCACACCACAACAATGCCATCTTGATGACATTTCCAGGGAAGCTCTATGGCATATCAACTCATCTGAATATTTTTTTTAACTTATCATTTTAGTGATCCGAATCAGTGCACTAAAGTATAGCGCTGTTTGACTTAACCCTCAGTCTTTCATGGTCTTTTGTCATCATTCCCATAGTTCATAATTTCCTCAAGAGAAAGCAACCAAATATATATATATATATTGGTTTTTCAAGACAGGGTTTCTCTGTAGCTTTTGGAGACTGTCCTAGAACTAGCTCTTGAAAACCAGGCTGGCCTCGAACTCAAACTCACAGAGATCCGGCTGCCTCTGCCTCCTGAGTTCTGGGATTAAAAGCGTGCACCACCACTGCTCAGCTGCCTATACTGTTTTTATTAAGCATATTTAACTTTTTAAAAAAGATTTACATGTATAGGTGTTTTGCCTGCGGTGCCTGTGGAGGCCAGAAGAGGGCGTCAGGTCCCCTAGAACTGGAGTTATAGACGGTTGTGAGACACCATGCAGATGCTGGGAACTGAACCCCAGTCCTCTGAAAGAGCAAGCAGCAAGTGCTCTTAACCACTGAGCCATTGCTTCAGCTCGAAGCATAAGTTTAACTCTTGGCTTGTATTACGACAGACTTACAATCTTACATTGAAAGAATAGGTCTGATGCAAAGAATGAGATGGAAATAGCAGATTCCAGACTTCTGACAGCAGCCTGATTTGAAAGATCCAAACAGGTACAGTTTACACAGAACTACTGAACTTACAGTATAAGAACTGAAGAAAATCTATATAGAAAACGCACAGAAGCTTTCCAGGGTGGCAGACAAAAAGCATCAAGTATAAGATCTCTCAATCCCATCTGTGCTATTGATAGACACTAAAACATGGGAAGAATAGAAATCTATTTGAACTTGTATTTGCAAGACTTTGCGCCACTCTTTTGCCTTTTGGATTCTTTTATGTCTTCTGTTTATTTTCTCATACCACCATCTGTGCCCTATTGCTTACAGAATTCTCTTAGATGTGTTTGAGTGGCCCTGATTTATATGCTGTTGGGAAAAGTAAGGACTGATTGAATTGAGTGCAGTTGGGCAGTGGCTCGCTAGAGGGAGGAAAGGAGCGAGAACCAGGAAGAGAGCGGGAGAAGACTTGGTTAAGTTTGCGAGGGCGTGCACCCCGAGGAGGTGGGGCGGGCTTGCGCGTAGCTGCTCCACCCTCACTTTGTCAGCAGGTAGAGAGTGTGATTGCAGTCCCAGGGGAGGGAGTTAGAGCTAGAACGCCAATTACCAACCACAGGCTTCCTGCTGTGGGGAGCTGATCCAGAATTGTCTCTGGAAAGGAAGCGTGAGTCCTTCCTTCTTCTGAACTTCCCAAGTCCATCCATGATTCAGAGATACCGCCTTCTCCCTCTGGGATTTTCTGTGTTTCTGGTATTGAATTGTTGTATTTACTACTTTGTTGTCTTTCAAGAGCTGATCATTTTAATTTTCCGTACAGAAGCTGGGGAAAAGGACTTTTGTTAGATTTCGGAGATGATTTTGGATCTTCTTTAAGCATTTCCAGAGTCCTTGAGGACAGTAGCTCTCGTCCTGGAATAAGTTTCTGCCTTTGACCTGCGTGGACTGCTTTCTCGGGCTTCGGAATTTCTCCGCACCTACCTGTAGTGCGTGCACTTGTCTGAGTGAGAAGGTGGAGGAAGACTGAGCCGCACTGGGTTAAGCAGCTCAGATCTTTTAAAAGCAGGATTTATAAAAAGCATAATTGAATTTGTTTCACCCCGTGGATTCCAGTGGGCCCGACAGCACAACAGGTTTGCAGATTTTTTTTGAAATTCTTTTTTTGTTTTCTTCCTCCCTCTGTCTCAGCAAAAGTAAGGCGTCTATATAGCAGGTTCATGTTCAGTGGCTTGGCTTTTGAGCGCTACTGAAGACTGTAGGATTTTCACACCTGGCCTTAGAACGCAGCAGGCTTTGTGAGGAAAGTGCATTTATAGTTACTTGAACGTGCTCATTTTAAAATCTGATGCTTATACAAGAACCTGAAGTTTCATAGGAGTCTAGAAATACCCCAGATCTGCTCCACTCTGCTTGATTCCCCCCACCCAGGGTGCTCAACGTAGAGCCTGTGACTTTCCCCCTATCTTTTATTCCCCACCCCTCAAGGAATTTGAAAACGTGTTAGGAACAGTTCTTTGTTTTTCTTCTGAGTCCCAGAGATTACAGACTCTAAGGTCTGGATAGTAGTTTCCACAGCGCGTTGAGGGAAGCCAAGTGCTTGATATTCTCAAACTGGAGAATAAAATCTGGAATCCCTGAGCAAAAAAGGAAAGTGGAAACTAATTTGAACTGGGAAATACCTGGAAAGCTGACCTCATCGAGTATCCCAATATGGGAGTTGGGAGAGGTTTTGGCATTCAGATTTACTCTGTCGGATGTCAAAGATATATGAATTTATGCCTAATTTTACAGGTACTTTTGGTGGAACACAAAAAAATATATTGAAGTTCTTTAAAAGTGTATAAATTCAGTAGGCCTAGAACCCTGGGCTCTGCTGAAACACAATCTAGCATGGACGTTGTAATGAATTCATACTGTAGCCACCTTAGGCATCCCTCCAGGTGTGGCCTAATTAATTTCCACTCCTCTCCTATTAAAAAGAAAACCCCCTCATGGTCTTCAGCCATTTAAAATGGACTGGTTTTCTGCTTAACAAGGGCCATCTTCTGAGCTCTGAGCTGGAGCTCTGCCTCCTCACTTTGATGCACTACTTAGCCTTTTCTCTTGGTTTTGGTTCCTCAACACTGGGTTTCGTGCCTCAGAAATCGGATACATATGGAAGACCAGCAGCAAGTGATCTGACACACAACCAGTCCATGCTGGCTCTAAGGCACATCTGGAAATTCCAGCGAGCAGTGGTGCTGTTTCTGTACCCACAGTGACGATGGGAGAAAATGACATACCTGCCCCAGAAGTGGGCTGAAAAACAAAAAAAAACCTCTTCTCCTCCCAGTCAGGAATGTCCCCTGTGCTTGGGAATACACTGTAGAGACAGGAAGGACTAGAGTTCTGACTTGGCTTTCGGAAACTGAAGCACAGCGTCTTTCCCCTCCATTTTCTGGATCTGAGAACTTGCCTTTGGGATGAGCTAGTGGAAGCAGTATGCATGGCCGAAGAGCTTTGATGCAGCTGGTAGCATGAGTGGCGGCCAGCAGCTGCAGCTGGCTGCCCTCTGGCCCTGGCTGCTGATGGCTACCCTGCATGCAGGCTTTGGACGCACAGGACCCGTGCTGGCAGCAGCGGTGGAGTCGGAAAGATCCGCAGAGCAGAGAGCGATTATCAGAGTGATCCCCCTGAAAATGGACCCCACAGGAAAACTGAATCTCACTTTGGAAGGCGTGTTTGCTGGTGTTGCAGAAGTAACTCCAGCGGAAGGGAAATTAATGCAGGCAAGTATAACTTTATTCATTTTACTTTCCATCTGTTGGAAATACGCCTTCTTCTTCTGACAAACCAAAACCCGGGCAAGGGTTAGCTTTCCTCCCTCCACTGCTTAGCTTTGCATTTCTTCATTCTTGTGCGGATATTACTTTATTAGCAGTCTAAAGCAAAATTTTATTTTATCCTTAAAGATATATAAATTCTGTATTGTAGACGATAATTTGCTTATTTTAATTGGTATTACATAACCTCTTGGGGTATGCATAATAAAAATTTTCTTTATAAATATGTATTTGGGGCACTATTTTACTCGGTCAAAAATACAAGTGTATTTAATTGACTTGAATATAGCTTACATCCTGTTAAAATGTAAATGCTGATTTTAATGATCAAGAGCACCCTGAAATTCTAGACTGTCCTTGGATGATATCTGATTACAGTGTCACTTTTAAAATTTAGTCAAGCTTGGACGCTATGGCTGGCTTGCTACCACGTGTGGGTGGCACCCTATTGCTAACCCCCAGGTGACAGGACTAGGTTACAAAATGGACCCCAAGCATGAACCTGCCCCTACTCCTTCTGGACCAGTTTTTAAATGTACAGTTCAAAACTTGAAACGTTTATTTGATATATGTATTTTTTTTTGAACTCACAGAGCTTTTCCTGACACAGTTTCTTAGGCTTTCAGGCTGTAACTCATTCACAGGCTGCCTAGTCTTTATGTGTTGAATTTATGAACTTCCTGGGGCCATTGCCTTTCTTAGACCAATTGCTCATTCCCGTGGTGAAGACAGAGCTTGATGAGCTGTGCCCTTCCGATGGGCAACCTACTGTCTTACTTCTTTAAAAGATGTTGTTTATTTAGTAAAATTCATTTTGTAAAGTAACACTTCTTGCTGTAGCCATTAGAGGCGGTTTATACAAGTGATCTCAGCATACAAAGTCAGATTTTTATTTTGTGATATATGTGGACTATGAATTTTAGTTCATAGCTATATGAATTAAAACAGAAAGAAGGTAAGAACATGAAATAAATTACAGCATTATTTTTCAAACATGAATACTTTAACTAGGTGTGGTGATCCATGCTTTTAATCCCAGTGCTCAGAGACAGAGGCAGATGGATCTCTTTGAGCCTGAGGCCAACCTGGCCTACATAATGAGTTCCGGGACAGCCAGCAGACATAAAGAGATCATGCCTCAAAAAAAAAAAAAAAAGAAAAGAAAGAAAGAAAGAAAGAAGGAAAAAAAAAAGAGCCTGTGTATCAATGGTTTTGAGACTGGAATAAATGAAGTGAATAAAGAATTGAAGCAGAGCCGGGCAGTGGTGGTGCACACCTTTAATCCCAGCTCTCAGAAGGCAGAGGCAGGTGGATCGCTGTGAGTTCGAGGCCAGTCTGGCCTACAGAGTGAGTTCCAGGACAGCCTCCAAAGAGAAACTCTGTCTCAAAAAACCAAAAAAAAAAAAAAAAAAACCAAAAAAAAAAAAAAAGAATTGAAGTAGAAGAAAGACTGCAAAATGCCCTAAGATTTGCCGTGTGTAAGGGGGACAGTAACTCTGTGGGAACAGAGCGGTATGAGAAGAAACGTGCTCCCTGACTTTGCCTCCCTGAGGTGCCTGCTGCGCTGTGATTTTAGCATAAACAGTTTTACCATTAAGCCCTCTGTTTGTACCTCTGACGTCTTAGGGAGCCCCAGTCAGATTCTGTGATAGCATTGCTCAGTAACTAACTTAATGATCTGCTCCAAGAGACGGTGTCCTCTGTCAGTTCACAGTGCTTCTTTTCTAAAGCTTCAGTATTTCCTCAGGGAACAGTACCCAAGGAACCCCGTGGCATGCCCCTGCCACCCTGCAGTGCTCCCTGAGCATTGTACCCGAGGAACCCCGTGGCAACCTGCATTGCTCCCTGAGCACTCACTGCTCCTTCACTCTGAGCAGGATTGCCATTATGTCCTTGTAAGAAGGTCTGTTTGCCAGTGCACAGCTTTGCATCACTGACGATTCAGGCTTTACTTTTTCTGTCCATATGTGCTGTTTTTAGGTTAAAAATAAGTTTTATGATGACTTAGTATTAATCACTGAGTATGTCAGTTTGGGCCCTGTACACTCTCAGTGAATCAATTTTTTAGTCCACAGCAGTTAACTAAATTTTCTTAATCACTCCTGAAGACAAACATTTTAAGAAAACTTGCAAGATATCTATCTTGTTTTTGTTTTTGTTTTTTTTGTTTTTTGTTTTTTGTTTGGCCTACTAAGATATCTATCTTTATACATTATTTGATTAACTCTTTCAAAGACCTCTGGTGTTAGGGATACTTGGTTAGTGCGACTAGATCCATTCTGTTTGCTTCTTATCAGATAACTGCAGCTCACTTCCCTTGGAAGTGCTGTCCCTGGTCCTCCATATGCACCGTAGCTGTCTTGGTAGGTCCATTATCCCCATAGCACAGATGGATCATTCCTTGTGACCTTCTGCCTATGAGTTGTTCCTGTTAATCTCTAAAGATTCAATTGGGTCTTTGTAAAAGTACAATATACTGGAAAATTTATATAAAACAGTGGTTTAAATAATAAGACATTTCTTTCCATTTTCCCAAATAATGCAGAATGCATACACTTTCATGAAAACCAAATTAATAGAATTTCATTGCTTTGCTTTTTATTGTATTGTACTTATTGCATTTCATTGTATTGCTTTTAAAATTTCCAAGTCATCCCATGACAATGTAGCCCTTTTGTTTAATAATAATATAGACCATCCAACTGCCTTTAAAATAATTTTCTTTTTCTTGGCTTTTTCTGATGGTTGCAATTCTCATACATAAGCATTTAAAAGCCGAGCAGTGGTGATTTTTTGTCTAGATTCTCATTCCTCACTCTTTATCTTTAGATTTCTCTTGTTAGCAGTAATGTCTAGGTCTATCTCCTGCCTCTGTCTCTGTCTCTCACTGTGTGTGTGTGTGTGTGTGTGTTGAACCTAGGGCCTTCCACATGCTAGATAGATGTTCAGTCGTTGACTAATGTTCTCCAAGTGCTGGAAGGAAGTTGAAAGAGGAGCTGCCTTCTATTTCCCATCTTCTCTTTTCCTGGAAACCTCGCCTCCTAGTCCTGAACAGTCATAGTTCTACTTTGCCCTGGAGTTTTTTTCTCTGAGCTGCTGTACCCTGCTAACCTGATGTTAGCCGTGCTCTTTGAAGGGTCCAACTCTCAGGTTCCGTCTGCATTTGCCAGACCTTTTCTTCTTCCTGCTTGTTATTTCCTTCTGCCCTTCCCTGTTTGTCTTCCATTCGGTTTGTATAGTTAGGGTGGCTCAGCACTGCTCCTAGAACAGCTGTTGTTTTCAACTAGTCATCAAAAACAAACAACCAACCAACCAAAAGCCAGGGAGACTTTTGAGTCCTCCTAATACTTGGTGGTGGTTTATAGGGTATTATTACATGATGGTGATTACGACCTATATATTTTTTTTTCATTTGAACATATTGTTTCCTGGTTGCACCATGCTGATGGAAAATATTGTAGAACTGAGCACTGTCTAATTTCCGGTTTTCTGCCTTGCTTATAATTGATTAATGTTTGTGTCTTTTATTATTTAGCGATATTCTTGGGACCACAGCTATACACGATTGTAGTCATATTTTTTTTTTATTTAGAATACCTCCAAGTCGTCTCTAAGCAAAAGAATCCAAGAATCTTAATGTAGCTCTAGAGAGGTCACCGACTCTTTGGCTGTCACATGTTTCCTGCTCAGCTGGTTGTCCTGGATTTTCTTAGACTCCAGGATAAAGTTATGATCAAGATTAGAATGTGTTGCCTGGAGGCAGCAGACCTGCAATGGGAGCTAAGCCTGGGGTAGTTTCACATTTGGCCCCAAACAGGGAGCACCTCCTGGACAAATTCCCTTCACCAGTGCCTCTTCTTGCCTTCTCATCTTACCTACCTGCCAGCTCATGCTTACCCCCTTTAAGTTTTCTCTTTATTTGTATTGAGCATCTGAAACTTTTAGATTGACGTTTTTGGCCAGTGTCAGAGAGACAGTCCTCTGTTGCAAGCTGAAGACCTTAGGAGCAAACCGATCCTACATAGTTGTGAGATTAGAACAAAATAGCTTTTACCTCGATGAGGGTCAGATTCTTTGTCTGTGAAATTGAAGGATTTGAATATAATAGCTGCCAAACTGATACTGCACATTTTATATGTATTAGCTCCTTGAATTACCATGATAACTTTATGGGAGAAAGTGTTCTGTACATGTTTTCTCACATTTTACAGAAAAAGAAGTTGAGGACTTAATACCTCTAAGGCAATAATTAGTGAGTGATTGTCATAGCTGGAGTTTGAATGGAAGAGCCATGGTTCTTCAACTCTGAATCTTATACATGTCAAAGGTGGATAGAACACCGGCGTGCTGCTGTTGGAGGCTGAGCCTGGCTACACAATACTCTACTGCCTTCTAATAATTTCTGTATTTCCGTTTTTCTTGTTTTGAGTTTGGTTGCAGAAAAGTGAGTCAATCGGGGTGTTTATCCAGGATCTCCATTGCATTACCTTCCTGCTCACTTTGAAATGTGATGACTGCTAACACAGGAATGCTAGTGATAAATTTTGAAATAGCATGCATTTAATTGACATTGCTTAAGTGAGTTCCTTGGATGCAGATTTCAGAGTAGATTTTAGGATTTTTTTTGCTTTGCTGACAGCCTTTAAAAGAACTACAGAGTAAATATTCAAGGTACAGTCAGCTCTCAGTTATTCATGTTAATGGAGGTGTAGAAAATGTAATTAATAATTGACTTTGGAATGTAGTCAGAAATTCACTATCAGATACAAAGTGTGCCCAGATAGGAACCCTGCTCAGGGCCTTCTAGATCTGGCTTTGTGTTACAAACCTGACCTCCAGAAGAGAGAAGAAACCACACAATATTCTTAAAATTTTTATTTTGTGCATATGAGTGTTTTGCCTGCATGTATATCTGTGTGCCTCTAGTGTGCCTGGAACTGTGGAGA